TGGTGAAACGCCTGCCTCACAGGGCATTCAGCAGAGTCAGGAGCTGGAGTCCTGGATATCTAGCATCGAGCTTCACGACCTGGCCTGCCACCTCAGAGGCTTACATCCGCATGGCACGTAGCAGGGTAAGCGGATATGCCTGGTCGGTGCTGAACAGTCCTGTGTTCACCAACATCCAGGACTGGGCGAGTTTCAAGGCTCGACTCCTGGACCAGTTCCATGGTGTGGCCACGGCTCATGATATGCTTGGCCAGGTAAGGATGGCAGTAGGTCAGGGGCCGCTGGACTTCGTTCGTGCAGTGGAACTGGCAGTGCAGCAAGGTGTGCGTGATTATCCCCAAGACATCGGGAATGCTGAAGGCCTGATGCAGCGTGCCTTCTGGGAAGGACTGCCTGGTTGGCTTTGGGGTCAGCTGCTTTGGCACGACTTCCCCTCTGCTCGCAAGATGGCCGAGAAGTGCCAGGCCATCTGGGACTCTGTGGTTGGGGCGAGATGCACCCTTCCAGACGTTCACGGGCTCCTGAGGATGGGACGGTCGTCGAGTTAGTGGCCACCCCAGCCTAGCACACATGACAGGATGGTCCTGGGCTTGTACCACCCAGGGCAGTATCCTGATGCATCCACACCTGGCCTGGAGTTCTACGGGGACCTTCTACCCCAAGTGGCGCTGGTTGGTGGGACACCTGCATCCGCCATTCCTGACACAGGTTCACAGCCAGCTCGAACCCCTGCCACAACATCATTTTGCAGATGGTCTCCTCGCAGGATGGGAAGTCGGCAGTGACCCTGGTGTGACTACCTTCGGATGGAGGGCCATCACACCAGCGATTGCTGGGCAGGAAGAGGTCGGTGCTACAGCTGTGATGAGACGGGGCACCTGAGAGCTACGTGTCCCTTTGGCCAAGGCCGCTCAGGTGGAGTCTCCCAGCTTGCGGACGCCCGTGCTAGCACACAGGGAACTGAACAACCAGCCAAGAACTAGGTTCATTGGAACACCCATGATAGTCCTTGAGGTGGAGGGTAAGCCATTTTCCCGCTTTCTGGACATAGGGTCAAAGGTGACAATGGTGAAGAGGGAGGCTGTCACACGCCTGCCAGGAGTCCGCTTGCACACCAGCTCAAGAGCATTACAGGGCGTCTCAGGCCAGTCGACCCCTGCAGTGGCAGAAGTGGATCTCGCCTTCACCATCCATCTGAAGCTGAGTGTCACCCACCAGACCTGTGTTGTAGAGAGTCTTCACTTCCCTGGTGACATCTTGATGGGCATGGACCTATTACATCGCTTCTCTGTCCGCATGGTCCTTGAAGGTCTCTCTGCCAAGAACTATGTGGAGTTGGATGGCTGCCGTCACAGAATATCGTTCACCAGAGGGGGCACAACTGGCTATGATGTGCCTGCTTGCCATGATGTTGCTGACGAAACCCTGGAAGCAGTCGAGACTCCTGAGCTGTCGCAGTCCCCTTCACCGGTAGATGTCTCACCTGTCCACATAGCTGAGGAGACTGTGGCTGAGGCTAGGTCTGACAAGCACCTGGCCATTGTTGAGACCTGCACGGATCGCCTCACCGTTCCCCGCACCCTTGTGACTGTCCAGGGTCACCACTCCAGTGTGTGGGTTGTTGACCCGCACCTGAAGCCACGGAAGGTTCGCCCTGGTACTCTGCTGGGGTATGCTTCTTTCCTGGAACCAGAGGAGGTGGTTTGTACAGTCCCGGCCTCCTCGATGACCTCTGACACCCCTGACAGTAAGCCTCCCACAGAACACTTAATGGACACGGCCACTCCAGACCTGGAGCAGGAAGAGTTCTCAGAAGAGGAGGAGTTTCTGTACTATGGTGAGTTCCAGGATGACAACTACCACAGTACTGCATGTCTGGACTTCGGGTACGAGGACAAGGACTTCTTCGTGTTTTCGGACACACCTGCCCTGGATGAAGCTTGTCAGCATGAAGAGTTGGAGGCTGCTTGTGCTGCTGTAGACTCAGGTACTGGTGGCACTGAGGCAGTATGTGCTCCCCTTCCTATCGCCCTCAGGCATCTGACAGCAAACCAGGAGGGGCAGCTGCATGAAGTGCAAGACCGTTTCCCAACTCTGTTCTCAGGAGACAAGCTGACAGTAGGGCATGTTCCAGGAGTACATTGCATCGTCACCACGACAGATGCACCAGTTTGTGTGCAACAGTGGAGGCTCCCACAGAAGTTGAAGGAAGTGATACGCACAGAGTGTGACCGTATGCTAACCCAAGGCGTTATTGAACCATCCTCGAGCCCTTGGCTGTCACCGGTGGTACTGGTCAAGAAGAGGGATGGAACTCACCGGTTCTGTGTCGACTACCAGGGCCTGAATCAGGTGACGACCCCAGACGCCTACCCTCTTCTCCACATTGATGAGATGCTGGACTCTCTGACAGGGTGCACCTGGTACACTGTTCTCGACAGCCGGTCAGCCTACTGGGCTATCTCTGTGCACACTGACGACCGCCAAAAGACTGCATTTAGTGACGGCCATTGACTTTTGCAGTTTTGCAGGCTTCCTTTCGGCCTCTAGACTGCACCAACGACGTTCCAGAGGACCATGAACGTTGTCTTGGCTCCTGTCTTGGGACGTCACACCCTCGCATATCTGGACGATGTGGTTGCATCGGCCAGCTTCAAAGAACACCTGCAGCATCTCCAGGAGACTCTAGCCCTTCTGAACGACGCAGGATGAAGTTAAACCTGGAGAAGTGTGAACTTGCCAAGCACCAGGTGAAGCTCTTGGGCTTCATTGTTGGTCCTGAGGGTGTGAGACCCAACCCCGACAAGACTGCTGCCATTCCTAACATGAAGCAACCTTGCTAAGTGCAGAATGTCCGCCACTTCCTGGGTGCTTGTGGTTTCTTCCTTCGCCACATCCAGGGGTTCGCAGCAATGGCTAAGCCCCTGACAGCCTTAACCAAGAAAGGGGTGAAGTTTGAGTGGGGAGATGCTGCTCAGCTGGCCTTCACCTCTTTGAAGGACACCTTGGTAAGGAACTCTGTGCTTTGCCTGACGCAGAGGGTGTGCCTCATGCTGTCGCCTACTGGTCCCGCACCCTGAAAGACGCTAAGGCCCGATATACTGTCATCAACCTGGAGGCACTGGCTGTGGTGGAAGCTGTCCGAGCCTTCGACCCGTACATCTACAGTTGACGGTTTGAAGTCTGGACAGATCACCAGCCCCTGGTTGAGGTATTTTCCAGGCGCACAAAGAGCACCCGTCTGAGTCTAAGTCTGAGTCTGTGCCTACGACACGCACACTGCCCACCAACTGCGATCCATCCTGGGGTCCACCGTACGTTCCAGAACCTGCAGGGTGCCTGGTACTTCCCCAATATGCACCATCTGGCAAGGGAGTATTTGGCTAGGTGCCATGCTTGTCAGCAGTGCAAGGGAGTGGCAGGTCGTGCTCCAATGGAAGAACATCTTTTACCTGAGGCTCCGCTGGTGAGGGTCTCAGCCTACTTTATGGACCTGCGGGGATCAGCGACAAGGTTCCGGTATGTACTGTCCATTGTGGATCACCATACTCGGTTCATGCAGCTGGTTCTACTGCGTGACAAGAGTGCCAACAGAGTGCTGCGGGCTTTTGTGGACCACTACGTGACACACTACGCCACCTGAGTGCACCAACCAGACAGTGAAGGACGCATTGGCGGCGCTGGCTAGGCAGGCTCCTTCGCAGGGGCCCACTCATCTGCCTGCTGTGCACCTCGCCCTGAACTCAGCCATCCACCGGGCCGTGGGGACCAGCCGCTGTACTTGCTGACAGGTTGTATGGTGCTCTTTGGGAAGGGCCTGACTAACCACCAGACTGTGGACCCGGACCTGTCTTTGGCACGCCTTGCAGACGCTCGCCACCTAGCTATTGAGGTCAGCAGGAAGATGCGAGAGTCCAACAAAGCCCAGTATGACCAGGCTGCTCGCACCTCAGGCCCTTATGAGGAAGGCGCTCTGGTGTTGCAAAAGATCCAAGGGAACCGTGGACCTTTGGGTGATCGCTGGCTTGGTCCCTGCCGTGTGCAGAAGCGGTTAGGCCCTGTTACTTACGATGTCCTGGACCTTCGGCCCCCACACCGTGCTGTCAGGGTCCATGCCAACCAGATGCGCCCCTATACTCCAACCGCTGAAGTGGACTTCCTTGAGGAGGACGACCGAGTGTTGTATGAGTGAGTGACGTGCTTTGTGAACCAAACTGAATAGTTGATAGCGAACTGTAGTGCCCCTTTAAGCTCCTTAGTTTGTGATGCATTGCTTTTAATTATGTTATTGTGATATTTTTACTAGTCGCATTTGTATTTTGATTTTTTTTTCTTTTTTTATGTTTTGATGTTCTCTTAGTTTTACCGTGTTTATTAATTTTAAGTTTATTTTTATGTATTGTTTTAGGGTACTGGCCCTTCCGGAGGTCTGCCGTTTTCCGTCCCGGGGGAGGGGCTGCAGAGTTACGTATTTTTGGATTCATGGATTCGCTTATGCGAACGGGTGGTTGTGTTGCCCTCTTGGGGTGTTTTTTTTATTTTTAATGCCTTTTCTGATGCCCTTTTGGCAAGCCCTTGCCCTTTTTTCTAAACGCCCCACCTCCAGAAGTATATATAGTGTCATGGGTCCGATAAGAGCTCGTTTAATCCACACTCAGACTCTTACTATTTGGGTACTTGGCAATCCCTGCCGTGACGCGCCGTGGAGTCGCCACAGAGAGCAGTTGGCGGGTGACCTTAATTTTGGAGAAGTGTGAGTGTGGGCTGGGAGGACTCCTGATTTTCTGATTTTCGCCTCACTGTGATATTTTGTGATATACTACGGTGCTACCTTGTTGCCAGTGATTTCCCGTGCTTCATCTGTGATTTCGAGGCTGTGGTAGCAGTAGTGTTTCGTGAATAAAGCCGTGCACATGAACAGTTTTTATATCCACTCCTGTAAGAGGTAGAAATGGCCGGCTTTTCCCCATGCCCATGCCCACATCTCTACGGTCCGAGGA